GTGGTGTGTGTGTGGCCAGCTCAGCCCACCAGGGGGCGGGGCTGGCTGGCATGTGGTGCTGGGGGATTGAACCGTGGTCCCTGATGCCTTGCCAAGCTTGTTCCAAGTAGGTGCTTTAGACCACTGAGCCATCTCTCCAGCCCCCTAAAATTTTATTTTATAGAGAAAAAAACCCCAAAGTTTCAAAACAAGATAATAAGAGAATAACAATGGTTAATATATAGCGTATTGTTATCTTTACTTACTCAGCGTATAAGATACAGGCATTTCATGGTCCAAATATTAGCACAAATCTTTCTTTTCAATGAACTAAGAGAAATGAACTAAGAGAAATGAACTAAGAGAAATTAGTAGTGTAATTAACTTAGCTGTGTATGTGTATGTGTGTGCATGCGCGCATGCATATCTTTTTTCTTTTGAACTGCCAACTTTTTTTTTTTTTTGTATTTTAGGGAAGGATCTACAGAGTGTTCAGGGTCTCACTGCTAGCTCAGACTCCTACTGATCTGCCTATTTACAGCCTCCCAAGAGCTGGGTTTATAGGTGTGCCATGCCCAGTCTCAATTGCCCGGGCCCTGGGGGCGGCACCGGCACTGGCAAGACAGGCCAGGGATCAAACCCCTGTCCCCTGCATCCGCCTAAGCAGGCACTTTAATCTGCTGAGTTATTTGGCCGGCCCGTACTTTCTGTAATATTTAGGATTTTACTTTTTTTTTTTTTTTTTTTGAAACGTGATTGGAAGATAGTTGAGTACGATGCTACAGTTGATAAAATTTGATGTGAAAAAATGTTTATTATCTAGAGGTAACATGCTGCTTTTTAAATTCATTCTTGAAATTTTCACTAATGTAGAGAACTGCAATTCCTTATTATCTTAGTCAGTTTGGACGGATAGAGCACGATGCCATAGACTGGGTAGTGTGAACAGCAACTACTTACTGGTCACTGTTCCAGGATAGAAAATCCAAGATGCAGGGGTAGCAGATTGTGTTTTGGATGAGGGCCCACTTCTTGATTTGCAGATGGCACCTTCTTGCTTTCTGCTCTCATGAATGAAAGAAATCACTTGCCTTTTTTTTTTTTTTCTTCAAACAAGGATACTAATCTCTACTTTCAAAAAACCTTAATTCCAGATACTGGGACACTGGGGAGTCGAGCTTCAATATAGTAGTTTTGGGGGCACACATATTCAATCCATAGTACTTACTTTCCACCTGTTGCTTCATGAAAACTCATTTAAAGGTTCCATGTCTAAAATTTGTCCCAATGAGGAATGCTGTTAAATAATATAATATATAAAAATCGTGGTACAAAAAGAACTGTCCCATTAACCTTTCTATCTTACATAGGAGTTCTCACACTTTAGAGAAATAAAAGATCTTTAAATGTGTAGATATGATCTGTGCAGGTGCTGCCTTTCGGGTCCAGACTACCTGGCTGGCACGTAACAACCAGCCCGAATAGTCCCACCACATAGTGACACTTGCTGCTCCGCAGGAGGGAGGAGCTGGAGACGGGCTGAGAGAGAGGTTGGGGCTAGGAGGGAGACAGTTGCCGGTGTGAGCTGGGTGCTTTGAGGGACCTATTCTTCCTGCAAGAGATTTTTTTTTTTTTTTTTAAATGTGAGAAATGCAGTTTGAAAGGTCAGTGTATTTATATGAAATTACAGGTTTTCTGAAAACTAAGGTCTGAATGCCAGGATTGCATATATCAATGAATGTGCTGTTTAGTGTGCCTGTTCACTATGATGAAAAATGTTTAGTATAGGGTAGCCTTACATTTTGTATGTCCTGTTATTCTTGCCTACATGTGAAAAATGAAGAGTAGGCATGTCCCTCTTTTTCATACTTATTTGTACCTTGACACATTAATTTTTAAGTATTAATAGTATATTGTATTTACATGTGTATTACTTCATTACTTTGTTTTCTTTGCTTTGTTGGAACCCTAACTTAGCGGCCATCAAAAGCCTTGAGTGTCATAAATTGCTCATTGTGCATCTGTTAGGCGAGGTGTGCTCCTTTCTTCTTGGCGGGCAGGAGTACACTGGCTGTAGACAGCAGTGTCATTGTTATGGACATAGCTTATTGCTTCTGTGCATTGCCCTTAGGGACTTTGGGGACAGCAGACAGCTGTTTCCAAGGGATGCTCATGTCTCTGACCTTGAGCTGTTCCCAGTCTAGGCTCCACACAAATATGTGGGATGCCTATAGAGAGTCCCAGGGCCGGGCAGCCAAGGTTCATTGTTCATGTGCACTGAGCTACAGAACAAAGAGCTTGTGTTTCAGACCCTATACAGGGCCAAGTTCAAGTTCCCTGAAGCCAGAAGATGTAGATATCACAGAACTTGGATATTATCAAGATTTCTGTGAGAGAATTGGAGGACTTGGTAGCTCAGAAACAGCCTGTCTGTAATTGCTGTGGGGTCATATATGTCCCTACATTTGGTACATTGCTTACTGACATAGCAGGCCCTGGCATTCCTGAAGGCTCACAAAGTGCTGTCTTTTTAATTATAGCCAGCAATAAATCCTACTTGCTGTCCTCCACCAATAAAGCTCATAAATGTAGCTCCTTAAAATTAATACAGGGCTGGGGAGATAGCTTGGTGGTCTAAGCGCCTGCTTGGCAACTTAAGGACCTGGGTTCGATTCCTGGTACCACATGCTGTGCCGGCCCTGGAACCCTGGACGTGTAGTGCCAGCCACTGAAACTGGGTTTGGTGGCACACGCCTGTAATCCCAGGGCTGGGGAGGTTGAGATAGGAGGATCACTACGAGTCTGAGCTGCATAATGAGACCCTGTACCAAATAAATAAATAAACAAAAAATTAATACAATATATGACTGGTGAATCCCTAACTGGTTTCTGAAGGGGCTTATTTTGTAATCAATATAAAAATAGGGCTGAAGAATGGTAGTTTTGTTTTCTAGTGGTGACTAGAGAGAAGACAATTCTTGCATGTGTCTAAGGTGATTTTAAGTCATTATTACAGTAATTAGATAAAAGTAAACAGTAATTCTTCTGCTAAGCCTATAGTTAGAGTGAAGACCTTCACCTAAATAGTTTAAAAATGTTTCAACTTTGATTTGTTGTATTTTTTGGAAATAACTATCAGTTAGTTTTATTAGGAAAATTTAAAAAGTCCTAAAGCACTCAACAGTGAGGACTCGATGTCATGAGAAGAGTCTACATGGAATGCTTTCTAAGCCACTGCTTAAGAGATCTAAAAATAATTTGGGAAAACTCACCACACTTCCCTGGTCACATGTACCGGTGGACCAGGAGTTCCATGAGGCAGAGGTCACTGTTATAGCCCAGAACATAATAGAGGATTAAGAAGATGGCTGGGATGTCACCATCAGATTGGCCATTTCTGATAAGCCAGCTGTGGATATAGTGATTAGCCACCAATTGTGGATGTGGGTATGTCCCGAACCAGCGGGTCAGTCAATGAAGGTCACCTGGGAGAGGAGCGGTGAATTGAGGAGGGGACAAAGGACAGGAGATGCGAGAAATGGCGACAAGACAGGATTCTGATCAAGTCTTGTTTATTCAAAGGAAACTCTGGGTATATATAGTGGAGGCATAGGGAAATGACGTGGGCGGGTAAAAGGCGCGAGTAACTAGGCAACCGGGCTATGACAGGAAGTCCCACCTCTGGGGCATAGCAGGAGACTTATGGGAAATAGATGGGGTAAGAAGAATTAGGAACTTAGCTCAGCAGAGGTAGGGGAAGAGGAACTGGAAACCCACTTGCAATAGGATTGGAGGCCTGGAGTTATTGTGTCTCCCACAAGTCCCCCTTTACTTTTATATATGTATATAAAATATGGCTTTTTAGATGGCTGATTCCCTTGAGGGGGCAGTGCCTGTCTTAGGTCGAGGTGTCCTCTACATGGACCCGACTCAAGCCTTACCCATCATAGGAGACCAGAATGGCAAAAGGTCCCGTTCCTGTCTTAGACAATGAGTGGTGTCTCGTGTATGCCCCTCATTACCCGTCTCTGGCTAGCCTGACCATCTCACCAAGGGTGGGAGAACTAAGAGGTCTCCGGACCTTCATCATCATAAGCTGGTTGTATTCCAGAACAGTTTTCCCTTTCAGCCATCTCAAGCCTGTGATAATGAACCTATATGGGTTGCATTTTTAATGGCATCCAGTTGTTGTTTAACGAAAGTCATCAGCCTATTGAAAAGACAGGGTTCTATTGATAAAAGTATTAATAGTCCAATCAAGGGTCCCGATAGGGGGAGAAGATAGGGTAGTACTCCATTCCATGCACTCTAGAAAGGGTTTTGAAATAGCTCTCTTTTCCTCTTTTTTTTTTTTTTGCGGAACCAGGGATTGAACTCAGATCCTTGCGATTGCCAGTCAAGCCCTTATTCTACTGAGCCATTTCCCTGGCCCCTCTCTTTTCCTCTTAATAAGATCTTCTTGAAGTCTCTTTATTTTATCTTGAACAATACCAGACTTGTTTGCGTAGAAGCAGCAGCGTTCCTGTAAAGCCAAGCAGATCCCTCCCTGCTCTGCTGTTAGAAGGTCTAAGCCCCTCCTATTTTGCAAGACTACTTCTAATGAATCTATCTGGTCTTGGATATCTTGGATAGTACCAGACAGTGTTTGAACATCATCAATCAGCTGATTAGATAATTTGGTATAAGAATGTACTGCTACTCCCAATCCTGCTGTGCCTGTCCCCATGGCCGCCGTGACTCCTAGCCCCACTAATGAAGGGATGAACTGGACTGCCCTCTTTGTGCGGCTCATAGCATAATCTAAACTGGGAAGGGGCACAGAATCATTACCAGAGATAACATCTATATCAGGCAACACAATTGCCATGATACACAGTCCTGTCCAGTTGGTAGGTAAATATGTGAAGGCTAAACTTCCCCCACATACAAACACATGTCCCTTTTTTGGGCAAATGGGGCTACTGTAGTTATGTATTTGATTGCAGCTGGTGAAGGTAACAAATCCAACATCAATAGTGAAGCTATCATTGTGGAAGCTTCCTTCTATACGGGAAAAATTCCATAGGAGATAATCTTCCCCGGAGAGGGTGGCTCTGGCTAATGCCTGCCAGTCCTCGGGAGTAGGCTAATTGTTGGCCACAGTTTCTAAAATGGCTGTGGTGTATGGAGCTGTGGTTCCATATTGGGCAACTGCCGTTTTTAGTTCCTTTAGTACTTTAAAATCGAAACTAGTGTAATGGTGCCAAATCTGTCCTTGAGCGCCTGTTGTTTCTGATACCGGAAATGCCTCTGCCTTATCTAGATCTGTGAGTGGGTCTAACAGGAGGAAGCTTTTGGGGATAGTGCCCCTCACGGGTGGCCATTGAACACAGGGGCCTTTGGTCCGGTTATACTTTCATTTTTGGGTTTTCCTGATTTTAATCTTTCTAATTGGATGAGGTCTTGGTGCTCTTTCTCAAATTTTATCTGTTCTTTGAGAAGTTCAATTTTGCCTTTTAATTCCTTTCTGGGGTCAGAAGCCGAACACGCCAAAGGAGGCGTGCTGGGGTCAGAGCTATATGGCGGAGGGCACTTAACCTCAGGTGGCCCATCTTGGCCCTGATACCGAGCAGCTTTCTCCGCCAGTTCATCCCAATCAACTTTATTATAATCAGCTTCAACTTGAAGAGGTTTTGGTAGTTTGGGATATATTTTTTAACTTTGAGCGTAGCTCCTTCTAAATCAAAGGGGTTAGTTTTCTCCTCAGGCTGTAATTTGGAATTTGGTAGCTCTGGCTTCCTGGTTTTGATTTCAAGATTCTGTTCCCTTACAGGAGGGTACACACCCTTAGGGGGTTCTTTGTCCTTTAAGATGAATTTTACCTTTTTGTCCCTGTAGTATATTTTCACCCTTTTTTTTTTTTTTTAATCACATTAGCAACAACGGGTCACAGTGTCTCCGGGATAAGATTTCATCAATTAAATTCCAGTAGGAAAAGTCCGTAACTGGGACCTTTTTAGGTCCAAAAGTCTCATAATAATCCTTAAGAGCATCACCAACCCTTTTCTATCGCCTCTGATCAATAGTTCCTTCAATAGGGAACCATGGGCAAACTTGTTTAATATATTCAAAATATTGACACAGATTCTTAATTTTAACATTTACTGCTTGCGCCTTTAATGCTTTACTCAAACTTTCTACAAATATCTCATGTTCACTTAATGCCTGTCCCATTGCCGAAGGTAAGGGGGAAGGGGTTCCCTCGCTTACCAGGTTCAGATGTTGCAGCAGGCAACTGTGGCGTGGACCTCTTTTACTTCTTCTCTTGCCAGCTCTCTCGGACGGTTCCGACGCTGTATCCTCCGTACCAGGTGCCCCATACATTGGGCGCCACTTGTCCCGAGCCAGCTGGTCAGTCAACGAAGGTCACCTGGGAGAGGAGCAGGGAATTGAGGAGGGGACAAAGGACAGGAGACGCGATAAATGGTGACAAGACAGGATTCTGATCAAGTCTTGTTTATTCAAAGGAAACTCTGGGTATATATAGTGGAGGCATAGGGAAATGACGTGGGCGGGTAAAAGGCGCGAGTAACAGGAAGTCCCACCTTGGGGGCATAGCAGGAGATTTATGGGAAATAGGCGGGGTAAGAAGAATTAGGAGCTTAGCTCAGCAGAGGTAGGGGAAGAGGAACTGGAAACCCACTTGCAATAGGATTGGAGGCCTGGAGTTATTGTGCCTCCCACATTGGTAGAGGGTGACTAATGAATTTTGCATGTGTAGAACATATTTGGTTGATTTCTAAGAATGGTATATAAGAACAAAATCCAAAATGTGATCCTTTTATTATGTATAACAAACTAAAACAGCTTTTCTCTGTCATAGAAAGATCATTTACATATGTTAAGGAAGATTATTTAAAATAGGAAGCTACTTTAGTATAATTTTAGTTTTGTTTTTTGGCACTGGGAATCAGATGCAGGACCTTGTGCTTGCCAGGCAGGCACTGTGTCACCGAGCTATATCTCTGGCCCTATTTTTAAAGGCAGGATATCTAAATTAAGAAATATAAGATACATCTGACTAAACCTTACTGTGAATTATCTTATGCCAGTTATTTTTAGTTGCTTGATTATTAGTGGATTGATTATCCATGACTTCTCTTATGATGAATACATTTTTAAAAAGTATAAATTTACATGAGGGAAAACTCAAGTCATCAAATTCCATGACATACTAATTAAAATTTAGCCAATTTAATTATGTGGCAAAGTGTATGTGGGAGTAGCATGCTGTTTGAAAGTAATAGAATGAAATACCTGATAATACATGGTTGTTAGTTATCTGTTTTAGCTTCTTATTCTAAATCTGTTGCCTAATGGGGTAGACATTTGCCACATGTATGTATTAATTCATAAGATCTAAAGTTAAAATTCAGTTCCTAAGTTTGAATAGCCATTTCAAGGACTTACTAGCCGCACGCACAGGCCAGTGGCCGCTGTACTGAGTGGTCCAAATAGCATCATTTCTTTGCATCATTGCAGAAAGTTCTGCTGGATTTCCTGTTACTAAATTAATGAAGATTACTAAGAGAGTATACCAAACCTTTCTACACTAAAAATTGGAGAACAAAGTGACAGCAAGTTACTGTCTGGAACTCTTTTTTTAAAAAATGTATTTAGAACAGGGTTTCACTACACAGATCAGGCTTGTAGTGATCCTCCTGTTTTCAGCTTCCCAAGCGCTGGGATTACAGGTGCATGCTACCACACCCAGTGTCAATCGCCATCTCAGCATGCCCAGTGAGACGGGGCCGGCACTGCACGCTGGGGATTGAACCCTGGTCCCTGCATGTGCCTGTGCAGGTGCTTGAATCTGCAGAGCTGTCTGCTCCACTGTGTGGAATTCTTTTTTTTTTTTTTTTTGGAATGGGGCATTGAACTCAGGCTCTTGCACTTGCCAGGGAAGTACTTATTCTACTGAGCCATCTCCCTGGCCCAGATCCATCTCCCTGGCCCACTGTCTGGAATTCTTAAACAGGGCATATTGAAATAAACTCTCATGTAGTTCCTTATGTTACTTGATGTTCATGGTAGCCAGATGAGGGACATGGTACAGTCCTCATTTTACAGATGAGATCAAGGCTTTACTTTAGGATTATAACTTGTTTTTTTTTTTGTGGAACCGGGGATTGAACTCAGGCCCTTGCGCTTGCCATGGAAGCGCTTATTCCACTGAACCATCTCCCAGCCCCTAGGAAAATAACTTGAACCAACGTTTGCCTGACTTTATTTATTTATTTGCGGTACCAGGGATTGAATTCAGGACCTTGTGCTTGCCAGGTAGGCACTTATTTCACTGAGCTGTTTCCCAAGCCCCCCAAATAAGTAGTATTTATTTATTTTTAACTTTTTAATTAGTTTTATTGAGAAATAACGAGACAGTTTCAAAACTGATTAGTAGGACAGTTTCAATAATTAATACATTGCATATTGTTGTCCTAGTGGTGGTTATTCATAGTACAAGATTCAGACATGATATTCTGTCCAAACACTATTAGTACAAATCTTTCTTCTCATTGAATTGAGAAAAAGTAGCTGTATATCTATCCTAACTCTTTTGTATATACAGATATAAAATGGTCCTTCATTTGTGTCTCGTTTTTTGGTGTAGTTTTGTCACAGATGGGTATTCCATTGCCATTTAAATATTGTAGGTGCGAGAATTCAGCAAAATAATCCAATATAGTCTACTAGTCCATAGTAGTAGTGGGTTATCCATAGGACTGGCAACATCAGAAGTTGTTGATTTGAGCCTTTTGGTCCTGGTGATCAAACTCAGGACCTTGTGCTTGCCAGGCAGGCACTTAAGCCGCTAAGCTACCTCCCCAGCCCCTTGTCTGACTTTGTTTTATTTTATTTTATTTTATTTATTTATTTTCTTTTACACAGCCCCCAGTGAAAACTTGCCTGACTTTAAATCCATTATTTTTTGTTATCATTTAGAATTTCAGGAAGAACATTGAATTGATCTTAGCCCAGTGCTTGGTATACTATATTGTCATTGGCCATCAAAGATAATTTTCTTCCTCCTACCCATAGGCAATCATATGTAATGAGGTTATCTTTTTGTCTGGTTTTCAGGATTCGCCATTATAGCCCCAGGTTCATTAACTTTACATTTACATAGATGTTATATAAATTTATGTCATGCAGGTTGTATAGACTAATATACAGTGATATTCTCACTATGCAATGCTATTTTTTTCTTGCTTTTGTGCCATTCTTTCTGTGTGGTGTTGAATTTTTTGGTCTTTATAATGAGAAAAGTTTTTAAGAACCTTTTTTTCTAGATGGGAACATGCACGCATGCGTGCACACACACACACACACACACACTCACACACACATTTTTGGTATTGGGTATTGAACCAGGACCCTGCGTATGGTAAGCACGTATTCGACTCCTGAGCTACACCCTCTGCTTGTGCTCAAGAAATATTGGTAGGATTACTGGTCTCTGAATGCTCATGTTTAAATTTTTATGTTGCTTTTGTTTTCTTCTTTATTATTAGGTGGCCAGTTATCACCTGTCACTGATATTAATGTGTCAAACATTGTGGCTGCCTTTTTATTTAAATTGAAATTTTATAGACCTAATTGCGGATTCACATAAGTTATAAGAAATATTTTGCGATCTCCTGCATACTTTGCCTAAGTATAGCTGTTCTTTATGCTTCTGATATACACATGAACCGGGAAGGAGGGTGGGAAAGCTTGTTAGCATTATATTAAATAAGAATGAAGATGGGGTTTCAGAAGGGGGGTCGAGGGGATGGATTTTCATATGAATATAATACATGTGTTCTTAATTTTAGCTGCTTTTTTCTTTAAATTTTAGTATTCCAAATTATTATATTGTATTATGTGTATAATTTCAGTTATCACTGAAATTTTTAATAACTATTTTTTAAGCAAATTAAAATTTTTATGCCAATCTTTTATAACTATACAAATGTGAAATCTTAAATTTTGATAATGATTCTATATTTCTATGTATGTTTTGTTGTAGGTTGTTTCACGGAGAAACCCAGAGGATGTCCAGGAGGTAACATGTTTATCCATATGAAAATTTCATTTTCTGTTTTTGACAAAAATTTAATTAAATATTTTATTGAGGAAGTTGTCTGAATTATTTGTATGTCAGTCTTTGTATGCAGATTGTCTTCAGCTTCCTAAAATAGTAGTTAATTGGCCTATTTCAGACGTACTAAGAGGGTGTAAGGTTTTATAAGTAAGAATTTGAGGAATTATAGTGCTATTTAATAGTGATAATTGTTCCAGTAACTAATACTCTCAAGATTTTTCTATTAATTGAGGATCTCTATTCATTTCAGATTTATGATACTTGTGTAATGAAACATTAAGTATTTGGTAACTAGTATTAATTTAAGAAATAAATTATGGGTCTCCACCTACTTCCAGTTTTATGCTGTAATTGGTATATTGAATCTTGAAAATCTGTTTTAGGAATAGATATTTCTTTTTAAACTTTTTAAGTTAATTCTTTTTGAAGACTTTTCTTTGCATGCTTTCCCTTTCCTTTCTTTTTATCTTTCTGAAATGATGCCAGCCTATTATGTTTTTGCTTAAAGCTGGAATTCTATATTTGTAATTACTTTGTGCCTGTCACATATTTTTAGGAATCCTTACTTCTTTTAACATTTCTTGATTTACTTTCATTTTGAACCATGCTCATTGTCACTAAGGCTGGAAGGACATATACTGGGGATTTTGTTGCTTGTGAAGTGTTTAAAACATGGCAGTTAATTTGAAGTTCTGATTCTGCAACCTTATTATTGTTCTTTCCTGATTGAATTTGAATGTCTGGGTGGGATATGAATTTTTTCTATTTAACCACAGACCCCACTGTCCTTCTTGACCATATATGGCTTTACTCATTCATTTCAGTTGATTATTTGGTTGTGGTTGATTTGGTTATGTGACCCTTGGGTTTAGAAAATATTTAGAAAATGTTTTACCTTACATTTCCTTAAGGTATTGTGTCTGATTTGATACTTGTTTTTGTCCTGTTGTTAAAATATTTAATGAAAGACACATTTTAAAAAAGATTTCATAATACTTTCCTCATGAGTTTTAAGATATCTTCCTTTCTCCTAAAATAGGGACAGTGTTGTTAGTTTGGAAGGAAAAGTTCTATATGCTTGTGAGTGTGATTTACACCATTGCTTAATGAAAGTAATCTTTACTTAAGTAGCAACTGATTATTATGAATTGTTTTTTAGATTTCTGTTAATTTTGTTGAATTAGTCAATACCAGAGTGTTCTGCTTTTGAGAATTTATAGCTCTGTTAAAATAGAAAATGGGCCATGTTTCCTTTGCATGTGTTGTCTGATTGCTGTGCTGTAGTTTGTAGCTTGATGTTCCACTTTTCCAGGGAGAATCCTGAAACAGCCTATCCATGAATATACTCTCTGCCATTTCCTTAATCCTTTTTTTGGGGAAAACTCTTTTATAATAACAACTGTTGGTGAACCATTCATCAGAAAACTCTTGTAAGTGTCCTTTAGTTAGACAATTGCATGGTCCTTTGTAGAAATAGTGTACGTTTTTGAAAAGTGTCTTATCCAGTAGGCTTCTTAAAGTATGAAATAACCTTGAAATTACCTCTGTCAGTACTTTTTTATTTCTCACGTATCCCAGTTGAATATTGGAATTTTCACTTAGGAAAGGAATTTTCACTGAGCCTTTATTTCTATTTCCTTTCCTTTCACTTTCTTCAATACCTAATTAATTTAGTTACTGCTTTAGAATATACCTGGGCTTCATAAGAACCATTGAGGACTTGTAGATGCACTGTTATTCTAATCAAATAGAGGACCAGTAATATGGAATCCTTTTAAAACTGGAGAAATTTTGCTCGCATGTACTATCAGAGATCAGTGTTGTCTTCTTAAGAATGCTAAAAAGCATTGATGTGGGGTAAATGATTTAAAGCTACCTAGGATAACTTTCATCTTAAAAAGTTTTTAAAATTTTCTCTAAATTTAGTTTTATTAAGAAAGCATGAGTGAATGTGCAGTGGTACAGCAACTGTTGATCTCTGGCCTCTTCATTCTGTCAGTGGTCTAGAACAGTGGTGGCGAACCTGTGGCATGTGTGTTGTTTTCAAGACAAAAGATGTTAATGTGTGAACTTTTTTTTCTAAACTGAAACCTCAAGTGTTCAGGTTTCATTGCACTGTTGGTGCTTTGTGCTAAGTGCATGGGCAGTTTGGGGTGCAGTTTGGGCATCTGTCTGGCAGACTTGCCATCACAGTCAAGAACATGCTTGCAGGGTAGTGTGGAGACTGCGTCCCGTCTCCCCCAGCTTTCCCAGTGGGGACCACAGGACCTTCTGGGCAGGGGGCATGCTTCACTGGTGAATTTGGGAATGGAAAAGAACTAAGTTGAGCTTTCTCTGTATCGTATCAGAAGTCTCTAAACTTTGTCTTTTCATAAATAGTTTCTGAAAATATGTACACACTCAGGGAAATGTATTGATTAAAGGAGTGAAAAGGATCTTGAAAAGAGGGGAAAGAATAAAAAACATGTGATGGGAGTGACATTTTTTAGAAAAGATGATCCAGCAAGTTTAAAGTACTACATAGAAGTTAAAAGGTCACAGTTAATTAAAGTTGGGTGATTTCATAAAATATAGGAGTTTAAAATTTTTTAAGTTTAAAAAAATTTTGTTTTGGTGCCAAAGACTGAACCCAGGGCTTCTTGCTTGCTGGGCAAGCGTTCTACCACTAGGCCAAATCCCTAGCCCTGGGATCAAAAATTTTTGATGTCATTATTTATAATTATCTGAAGAGGAGGTAGTTATTATTTGTAAAAAATATTTAAGGGAATATTTCTTTTTTTTCCCCAAAGTTTTATTGATAAACAGATAGCAATGAGACAGTTTCAAATCAAATCAGAAGTACAGTTTCAACAAATAATACACTGCATATATTCTTCTTAGTGGTTAATTGCTGTACAAGATGCGGACTTGTGATCCTATTTACAAACACCATTAGAACAAATCATTCTATTCATTAAGAGAACGCAACTACATATCTACCCCAACCACTTTGAATACACAGATACAAAAAGGACATTCATCAGTATACCCCATTTGTTCTAAGTTCCGTTATTGAATATTATAGCTGTTAAGGGAATATTTCTAATGAAAAATTAGATTTATTGTTTGTAGTCTGTATATGGTTATTGAATTGACATTTCAGGATAAATTTTCTTCAGAGTAATTTTAATGAATAAGAAATTTATGCAGGTTTGGTTCAGTAAAGTAATAGATATTGTGTAGTTTTTTTTGAATAGAAAAATATCAGAAATTTTATAAACAGTTTTTGCATGTGTCTTAGGAATTTAATATAGTCCACACATAAACAGTACCCGCTGATGTGCTGGAAGTGTACTTTTATCCAGCTTTCCATTTTGAAGGTTTTGAAGGAGTCTGAGTTTGACACAAGGAGGCCGTGGCTGTGCTGCTTGGCAACACTCTTGGGTGTTTCCTGGTCTGCAGCCCTAGTGTGATGGCACAGAGTGTGTGAGGGAGCGAGTGCAGCCATGAGAAAGACGCGCAGGTCCTGGGTCAGCAGTTCTGATTCTTGCTTTGACAGATACACTCTGGCATTTTAGTCATCACCATGATTGAGTTGTTAACGTTTGCCTCTTGAGTCATTCTTAGTTGAAAATGATCTTAACTAGAATATACATTTTATCTGCAAACCTCGTTCCATAATCTGAAATCTTAGTTTTCTTGTTCATGTTGTAATGACTTTTACCTTATGTGATACCCAGTTCATGGTGCCGTTCTCCTTATGTAAGATAGCTTTCATAATCCTGTTGCCCAGCTTCTCTCATCCCTTAGCACTGTTACTATGATTTGATATATTTTAAAATATGTAAAATGGGCCGGGGAGATAGCTTGGCAGTCTAAATGCCTGCTTGGCAAGCGTAAGGACCTGGGTTCGATCCCTGTTACCACATGCTGTGCTGGCCCCATGCTGAGCCGGCCACTAAAATGGGGCATGGTGGCACATGGCTGTAATACCAGCACAGGGGAAGCTGAGACAGGAGACTCGCTATGAGTCTGAGCTGCGTAGCATGAAAATACCTATACCAAGAAAAAAAAGTAAAATACCACTTTTCCCCCTTACGATAGAAGTATGTTTGTGTATCAAGATTAGAAACTACCAAGAAGCCCAGTATATGATCGTTAAAATCTCAGTTTCTTGAGGCCTTTCAGTTCGCAAGTGCTGGCTGAACTTCATCAGTCAGTTCCTTCCCTTCTACTTAGCAGAAATGTTGCTTCTTTGCTGTCAGCCTTTGTCTCGCTCGCTTCCATTTTCCGATGAAGTCTCTTCTTTCTCAGTGGCTCATCTCACAACATGGCCCATCTTCTCAAGCACTTGGCTCCTAGTTTCCTTTTCTTTTTTTCTGGTCATTGATGTCAGCATTTTTGTCTAGTCCATATTCACTCCTCTTCTCCTCAGCAAGGTTGAGGACCCTTTCCTCATCTGTTACCTCCTGCCCCCTCATAGCTCCCAAGGCACAAGTTTGTCTCTTCAGCCCCACACCGAGAGAGATACCTGACAGTCGTCTGAGGCAGCCCTCTAAAGCAGAGCTTCTGCCTTCCCATGGCATTCCCTCTTTGCTTCCACCCAGGGAATGGCCCCACTAGTTAGTTACCCAGTGGCAAGGGCCAAGCGTCGAGTAATACCCCTGTGGCATCTCTGTTTTTAAAACCTTCGCTCTGTGCCCCTGTCCTTTGTTTTCTTGCTCTGTTGACAACTTTCCTTCAAATAACATGTTCTGCAGAGGGTTCTCAGGTGTCCTCTGTCGCAGCACTGTGCCACCCTGCTTGATGTGGCCCTGTTGGGTGTGCTGGGCTGGCGTACTCTTCCTAACTAGCCCGAGAGCTCTGGAGGAGGCCCTGTGTGTCTTGTTTCCTTATCCTCTCTGACAGTGTGATGCCCAGCACTGAGGAGGGTTGTGAAAGTATTTGCTTTGGTGACTGTTTGTTGTTTAGTAAACAAATAAAAGCGAAGCAGCAGAAGGAAGCAGTTTGTTTACATCTGTCATTCTCCTAGGGTTATAATTAAATAAAGACAGTGAAAGTGTATGGTAGACTTCTTGGTGGTGTGATACAATTGGGTAAAGAATTTCCTACCACTCAATAGGTTTTGGCGAGAATCTCTTTAAGTCACTTATCCACCCGGCTGTTTTTGGTCATTAGCATCATACTCTCTTTGTACATGAGGAGAATTCACTGGGAGGGAGCTTTTCACAAGAAAAGGTCCTTATCTACAAAGTAACAGTTTAAAAGTAGTTTCAGCCTATTTTGAGAGGAGGAAGGGCTCAATGATGTCAAAGCTTTGTGTTAAATACTTCTTTTGACAAATTTTTCTTTTGTCTAATTTAATCTGATTAAGATTAGATAATTCAGACTAATGAAGGCAAACTCACTTTCACATGTTGTTTAATGTAGATGACTATTGTTTTGGTTTTTTTGCAATATGCTAGTTTTAACAGCATTCTGATCAGCATTCACCCTGTCCCAGATATCTTATTTCTTAGTTAAGATTTAAGAAACAGTTATGAAATGGCAAAGTTCCTGTTAATGACTTGTTACACAGACGTTTCTTCTTCAATATTACTCAGTTTATCCTTTTAGGCAAATATTGAGTGTGTCCTTCGTGTTGAAAAATTACCTAATTAGGTCTTTTGTTTTGTTTTCATAAACATGTTATTTTTGAGAAAGAATACATGTTGGACATTTAACTAATTTCCCAGGATAATCATAATTGGTTTTTAGGAGATTAAGTGACCTTTTATGTGGTATAGTTCTTTGTACCAGGTTGAATATTTTCCTAAGAATAATAAAACAGTATTTCTTCAAAATGAAATTTAAAAACCAAAACAGAATAGCATGAGGAAAAATTGGTGCTTTGTAGTTTAAAAGCAAATATTAGTGAATTTTGGACAGTTACCCCTTTTGGTTAGAGCAGGTGTTTGCTGTGCTTAATAATTTTGAACACTTTATGTGTTTATTTTTCAGGCCAGCTCAGCCCACCCTGAGGGCAGGGCTGGCGTGGCATGTGGTGCCAGGGATTGAACCGCAGTCCCCTACGCCTGCCTAAGCTTGCCTAAGCAGGTGCTTTAGACCACTGACCTATCTCACTGGCCCCCTTTTGAACACTTTAATGAAAAGATAATTTCTTGTTTTGATACCAGGACCTAAGTGACTTTGCACTGAAGCATACTTTTAATCTTTTTCTCTTTTTAGATAATCGTATGGAAGAGATACAGTGACTTTAAGAAATTACACAAAGAGCTATGGCAAATTCACAAACACTTATTCCATCATTCAGAACTGTTTCCTCCCTTTGCTAAAGGAATAGTATTTGGTAAGTGGTTATTTTGAAATTGTACTTGAAAATTGTGATGATAACTAATTATGCTCATGGCTGTGTGCTAAAGCCTCATGGCTGTGTGCTAAAGCCTCACTATATACTGTGAAGCCTAAAGCCTCTTTACCTTATACAGTGATTCATACTATTTAGAAAGCACTTAAAGTTGTGTTTTCTGTTCTTTTTTATTAAAAAAAACCATTTATTTATTTATTTGTTTGGTACAAGGTCTCACTACACAGTTTGAACTTGTAGTGATCCTCCTGTCTCAGCCTCCCCAGAGCTGGGATTACAGGCATGTGCCACCATGCCCAGTTTCAATGGCTGGCACAGTTTCCTTGAGGTTCTGGGCCAGCACAGCATGAGGTACTGGGGATTGAACTCCTGTCCTTATGTTTGCCAGGCAGGTGCTTAAACTGCTGAGCTATCTCCCTAGCCCCTTCTTCTTCTTCTTCT